AAGAGAGCCGTGGGAAAGAAGGGCCACCCATGTGGGGGATGTAGCCCACTGCCAAGGGTGACTTTTTAGGATGCTTGGACCTCATCCATCCTTTTATAATCAAGATTATTAAAACAATGGGAGATGCTGTATGCTGATCTCCAGAAGAACAAAGGATTAGTTGGGTGTTAAACCAAGAGCACTAAAGGTGCAGCAGTAGCCAAAATTTTTGGTATAGGACAAAATTTTTGTCCTATATACCTATATAAATTTTGGTATAGGACCAGGTACAGGACAGTAAAGGGAAGGCTGTAAAAAGAACCTCTGAGGACCCAGGTGACTCTAGCTGTTAATGTCTGCCTGTCCTTGGATATTGGGAACTGAAGCAGATATCTAAGCTGTAGAGCTAGAGATGACATGAGATAGCTCTGTCTCTTCTTGGGTCTGTGGAAGTTGCCGTCTTTATTAAAGAGTGGCAGTGTTTAGAGAACTCTAAGACCCAAGGCTTATGAGGCAGGCTGGGGAGATTCCAGGGTGAGGAAGAAGCAAAGTACTAGCTACTACCTCCTAGAAGAGATGCGAGAATTTGGGAGTGGTGGGAGGAACTGAGAGACCCTCTGATCTCCAGCGACTTAAAGAGACAAGCAAGACCAGGTATCCACCTGCAAAGCCATCTTTTATATATTTTAGAATCTTGGCATATTGAACAAGCTCAGGTCTATTGCTTACTAAGCTTCTGTTCTTGCTAAGTTTCCAATTAGTAATTTAAGTCATGCTATGAAGGATTATATGCAGTTTGAAACTCCACAGTCCAGATTCATTTGAGTTAACACCCTGTATCCCATATATGTATTCTTTTAATATATCACCTAATATTTCCAAAGCCCCCCAAGTCACTTTCATCTGGTCATCCTCTATTCACAATACTTTTCCCTCATAGCACTAACTAGTACCTGTCCTCATATTAAGTGTCTGTTTATTATCTACCTCCTTCCCTGGAATGTAAACTTCATGAGGGCAGGAGTGCAGTTTCATTTATTACTATAACCTCAGAGTAGAGAAGCATGCCTGGCCACATAGTAGATGCTAGTATTCGTTTCCTAGGGCTGCTGTAACTAATACTGTACATGAGTGACTTAAAACAACAGAAATTTATTCTCTCCCAGTTGAGGTGGCCAGAAGTCCCAAACCAAGATATAACAAATTATATCTGCAAAGCCCTTATTTCCACAGAAGGAAGGTGACATTCTGAGGTTCTGGGTGGACATTAATTTGGCAGGGAGTAGTTGGGGTACACTAACCTACCACAGTGCTCAGTAAATATTTATTGGGTGAATGAAAATTCAGAGTGTATTCTAAGATGTAAACTCCTTGGACATTTTCATCATGGTCTTCTCTTAATAATTGGTACAGAAGGTAAGGATTGGTTTGTGGTCCAAAATTTTTTAGGCTCCAATTCTGCTTCTACCACTTTCTACTTGTGAGATCTTAGGGAAGCTATTTAAGTTTGTAAGCCTCAGTTTCTTCTGTAAAATGGTGACAATAAGAAATAACAGTAAGTGCCCAGTAAGTTTTACCTATTATGTGTCTACAGCTATTTTAAAGCACTTTCTATGTGTAATCCTCATAACAGCCATATCAGGTGAGCCTATTACGCTTCTCATTTTATGACAAAGGAAACTAGATTTGTTTCAAGAATGAAAAACCCAGAAAATTATATGTCACTTTATGAAGTGCTTGGCACATAGAACAGCTTAGCCGCAATAATACAGATATGTGACTTTACCTCGTAACTTTAAGACATCTCAAATTGATTCACAAATCAGAAAAAAAGTCTGTTGTGAAGTGAGGCATCTCAGTTTTTTCGCATATGATTACTGTCATTGAGGGTGTTCTGTCCCTGGGAGGACTGGGTGGGATGCTGACCAAAGGTAGGGGCATATTTAGGCAGTGAAATTGCAGTGTGAGACCCCTCTGTAGCACTAGGTATGTGAGAGGACTACAAATAAAATTCCTTTGAAATTTCTTACGGGGTCAGATATTACCTCCTTCCCAAGACTACTATGGTATATTAGAGTAGGGGATTGATGTCCCAGAAATACTATGTACAGCAAACAGAACATTTACACAAATTGCTTTTATCAGATACTGAAAATATCAGTGGGTTAGAGTGTATTATAGTACATACGGATATGTTGTATTCCCCCTTTCGACTAAATAAACTCTCCCCTCTCTGCAACAGGTAAATTTCCAGTTTACCTGTTTTTTGCTGTTTTTATTTATTTTTTTATTTTGCAGGCTTTGCAGCTTTATATCTCAGCTGAAAATATTACATTCTAACTCCTCAAAGCTATTCTGACATTATTTGCAAGTATTTTTTCATAGTTTACATGTTTGTGTATTTGTTTAATATATTCCACAAGACTAAAAGTCTTGGTGAGGGTAGGAATTCTGTCTAGGTTGTTCATCTGGCAGCCAGCAAACCCAAAATAAATATTAGTTGAATGAATAGCTAAATAGATGAGCCATGGGGTAGCATATCTGTTTTAACTACTGCTTGCCTGTTATCCTCGGATGCTGCTTGCTTCTCCAAGATCTCGTTCTTGTTCTTAAATTGTCTTCAGTTGTAGTACTAAGTACTAATTTGATCTATAATGTGGTATGTGCTGAAGTTTGCTCTGTAAAATCACCGTTTCCTGAGGTATATTCAATACCTTTAATTTTTCCATAAATCTCTTCAAGGTTTGTGTGTGTTTTCTTTTAAATGATCTAACTAGTTGGATGTATTCTTGAAGTGCTAGACAATAAAAGTTTCAATAGGCTAGAAGTGTTTCTTTTTGTAAAACTGTTTTAAGAAACTAGATTATGGTTGTCACTTAAAGCTGAAATGCAAATGTAGCTAGTTTTTTTTAAAGAATAATTCAAATAGGTCATTAAAGATTACTGTGAGCACACTGCATATTCTAATCAGTTTGACTATGTTTTGAGACTTCTAATAGTTTATGATTCTTGACATTTTAAAAGTTTATTACAAAGAATATAAAACATCTTTATCCTCATTATATCATTACCTTCATGCAAAGAATACCTCATATATTAATTCTGGTGCTGTTGGTAACTAGAACTGGTTGGGTTTTCTTGCTAAAAGGAAGTTTAACAAATGTTTATTTTACACCATTAATGCAATTAGCTTTAGTTCTCAGAGGAACTAAAAGTGAAAAAGTGAAAAAGTGAGGGAGATTGAGGGACCCTGTCTATCTCAAATCCACTGAGTTAGCTACTTTAATTTCATAGTCCCTGTAGTACCTCCACCAGAGGGCAGAAAGTGGAAGAGAAAGGAGATGAAATAGAAACTTGTACTTGGCCTCAGAATACCTGTAGAAACCTTAGCAATTGAATCCAACCCTCACGTTATAGGTTGAGTTAACTGTGACCCAGAAAGACTACGTGATTTGCTCACGGTGGATCTGTCAGATGCATCTCTTAGGTTCTTGATTCCCAGACTGGCGCTGCGATGATTGTGTGTGATGAGGTAGTATCTTAGTAAGAACACAATCCAGAAGTCACTGCCTCAGCTACTTTCTAGCTTGTGTAGGCTGGTTACTTCAACTCCCTGATTCTGCTTTCTTTTCTCTAAAATAAAATAATAGCTTCTTCCTCAGAGTAGTTGGTGGAACTAAAAGAATACATGTAAAGTGCTTAGTATGACACCTGCCACATAGTATGAGCTGAATTATTGTGAATTATGTTAAATTTGTCAGATACTGGTTTACAAATCTGATGTTAGAATAACATGGAATCAGTGTTTCAGTCATTTTACTATACATATGCAATATTTTCTACATTTGATCTCACTTCAGAAACAAAATACTGATTCCCCCCCTTTTACAAATGTGTATTTTCCCAGCAATAATTTTCAAGAACAAGTGCTTGGCCCATATTTTGTTGTCTCTACATGACTTTAGATAATGGGGATGGATTTATTCAATAACCTCATGAGTAATTTTCAAAATTTCCATTGAGATCTTGATTGAAATTGGATGAACAATCATTTCTAAGAAAAACCCAGTGAAGTGTCTTTCTTTGCCACATTTGACAATTGCCTTGGACTTGGTAAAGTCCAAGGCAATTACTGTGATGAGTACCTCCGGTGCCCTCCTTGACGCTGTCTTAGAAAAGGTAGCTGCTTTTGAATGACAGAAAGGCAGGAACTTTTTCGCCTTTTAGGTTCAACCTGTAGGTGCCCTCCGCAGGAAATCAGGAACTAGGTTTTTGGAAGCAGTCAGGGTAGGGTTCTCCCTTGTCCCTGCAGCCTCAGCAAAGACTCAGGCAGTCTGGCAAAAGCAGTTTCTTCAGCATACCTAACAGAAGGCAAGTTTTCATATGCCTGATGCAAATAATGCCCTCCAAACGTTAAACTTTTTTTTGAGATAAACTTGTTCTTTAATTGCCAGTGCCTGCAGTTAATTTTGATTGGCTTCACTCTGGTTAAAAGAAAATGCTCTCGATGCGATATGGAAAATTTGGAGAAAAGTAATTCTTTTGCTCCCAACCACTCTCACACAACTTAAACTTAATCGTCCTGTCCTTTGCTGCTGCCCTCGTTTAGTGTAAGTTTTTGGGGGAGATCAGCAGAAACTGGCTTTCCATATGCCCCTGAATAATAACTTCTTTGAATGCAAAGAGATGGGGACACGGAAGATCTGTCATTACGGGTTATTATGGGTGGGACCCAGAGACGGGAGTGAAGGGAGGGTGTGGTCCGCGGGTGGGATCTGTAGAGCAGACAAAATATGGGGCCCCTGGCCCTTAAAGTTCAGTTTGTCTCTCTTGAGCTTGGAGAAAGGCATCCGTAGTGCCTCCCCGGGGGACACGTAGAAGAGAGAAAAGCGACCAAGATAAAACTGGACAGAAGAATAAGCGAGACTTGTTCTCCATGAAACAGTCTACTTCCCTCGCTCCGGAAGAGCGCTACCGCAGAGCCGGGTCCTCAAAGCCGGTAAGATCGATGATTCGCTGTCCTACCGCAGCCAGGTCTTATGGCCTCTTAGTCCCGGTGAATTCAGGGTCAGCCCCTCCCTCCCCCGTCCTCTCCTCTGCCAGATGCCACCTCCTTCCCCGGCCGTAGGTGAGCTCCCGCTCTGACAGTCCCGCGTTCAGCGTCCTGCACCCAGTTCCCAGGCGCACGGCCCTCGTCCCGACCTCCACCCGGGTCGCCCGGCATCCGAGACCCTCCCAGGGTCATGGGCAGGGTTTCCTTCAGTGTTCGAGTAGGCTCGATCCAGAGACCCCGGTCCCAATGCCGGGGGCGATGCCACCTTTCCTGCGGAGTCCTTCCTTCGCACGGTGCCCTCCACGCGTCTAGTGGACTTGGCTGCGCACTGGCGGTACTGGAGACTGCAGATGGAGCTGTCGGAGCCAGCCCCTCGGTGATCTACAGCTTCCTCTCTGCGCCGGCGTCGCGGGCGCCCGGTGGTTGGAAGGACTGCGCAGCAGCCTTGCCTGCCCCAGGCGTAAGTCCCCTTCCCCAGCTGCGCGCGCCTGGGTCTGGGTCCCTCCACAGCCCGGGTTCGCGCTGGGTTCCCCGGCCCCCAGTTGGTGCCTGGGGATCACTCGCCCTTCCTAAGCGCTGGCATCTCAGAACTGGCCCTCTTGCAGAGTGCTGGGAACTCGTAGGTCCCTGCGTGCAAACTTTCTCCGGCGTGAACCTGCCTAGGCACAGGAGCGCTGGCCGCTGGGGGCGTAGGCTCTGCGCTGTAGGATTTGGCTGGCTCCGATCCAGTCCTGGGAAGGGGCAGCGTTGGCTCTCGTTCAGGAGGAGAAAGAAAGGGAAGAGCACCACGGACAGTCCCTACTGGACTGAGTCCCCAGGAAGAGGGTCTAATTTGCGGCTGCCCCTCTCCTCGGTGTCATTAGGGCCCTGGAATCCGCTTGCTACCGCAGGTACCAGCTGCTCCGAATCCGGGACCGACCAGTGACGATAGCTGCAGGCAGAGAGGGCAGGCTGTGCGGGCGGAAGGGAGGTGGTGTCTTGTCGGATCTTACTGGGACCCAGTTCCCCAGCTTCCGTGGCGGGCACCCCACTCCTGGTACTACCTGGTCGGGGCCAGTGGAAGGCGGTGTAAGCGCTTTTTGCACGGCTTCCCGTTCCTGGGGCCGAGCTCTGGGAGCTGTGACTATGAACTCAGCAGGGAAGCCGCGGGGCTGGGCATTCCCAGGGAAACTGTTCCAGTAATTCATGAAGTGGAGCTTTCCTCTCGCGGGAAACTTCTGAGAACGATGCGCTGCAAAGATTGACTCCTGTACAAGACTTCGACGACTGACATATGCAGAATTGTGGCTTCTAGTTTTTATTTTAACTTTTTATTTAAAGTAACTTATCGATGGAAGTAAAACTCTGCAAAGGAACGTCAGACCGCTACCAGAAAGGGGGTGAAGTTAGGACTTACTGATGATTATTGTCCAAGGACACATTTAAGCAGATAGTTTTAAAATTAATTTTGGCATAACCCTGAGACAGTACCCTGAGACAATGAGAGAAACAATGCGTTTATAAAAAGTTACTAAACCATTTTTTTTGTCACAGTCAAAACATTCATTCGCTTGTTTCTATTATTAGGTGCCCAATAGTTTTGTTGTGTGAGATTGTGCTAAAAATAGATCCTTAGATCCTGGGGCTTGAGACGTTAGAGGAGGTTCCTGGGGCTTGACAGGTTGGAGGAGATGTCTGCATAGACTCATGTGTGGGCTTGACTGACCAGGCAGGTTTTCCATAGAATGCTTTCCAGGACACCAAGAATTTCAATAGGATGAACTATTTTGGGGTTATTTGGGTGTGGAAACACATCAACCTCAAAACCTCAAGATTCTATAAGGCCTTTAAGGAAGAGGGGACTCTTTCCAGAAAGTTCCTTTCAGGGTAGGCTTACAGGACCAACGATGAAAGCCTCTGTTAACCTTCCTGTGGGTTAAAGAGACACACCAAGAATTACTCTATTAACTTCATCAAGTACATATCCAGATATAGGAACACTTTCTTAAAAGATGCAAAACTCACTTCTTCAGAAACCTTCCTCATAATGCTGCAGAAATCGCAATAGCAACAGCATAGAAGGCAGGCATCAGTCCTTCCGCATCTTGCATTCCACAACCAGCTGTGGTTTCCTTTTAGAACGGTGGCATTCTCCACCATAGCTTCATGTGGATTTCAGCATTTGCTAGCTCCATTGCCCAGCCAGCCCCTCAGTTGACCTCCCCCACTGTTGGGGGCAGACAGGAAGTTAGAGGAGAAGCTGAGTGGCCCAGGAGCTCCAGAGAGTCATTATCCAAAGCCTGTACTTTCAAATCTCCATACTGTTAATGAGGTACTCCCTTGCTTATTTTTCCTCTTTTTCACACTTCTAGCCTCTTTCAACACAAAGACTTGTGGTCTTAGGGTTTCTGAGTGTCTCCACTGCCGGGGGTAATAAGAGCTCTCCAAGGAGCAGGAGAGCCACAACACTGAATTGTTGCTTAGTGTATCTGAGGGGGAAAGGTTTATTTGACCTGCTACTTCTACCTAATAAGTTATTCAACAAGTATGCATTCATACATCCTGTTAGCCCCATCACTATTCTTGGCATTCCATTTTGCTGGACCAAATGGAAAATGAGGCTGGCTGGCTAAAGGGTACTGACCTGATACTAGCTAGTTAAACATACTAGGTTCACACTAAACACTCAAGGGATTCCAAGACTTACCTGTTCCTCAGAGTCTACACACTCACATAACGACACATACAGACACAATACACTTGTTTGTTTTATGTCTGTTCAGAGAGAGTGGAAATGGCAGACCCCTTAAGAGTGGAAGGTGCTATAGATGGCCTGCCTTGGTGCGAAGAGTAGGAGCTTTGGTGTCAGACCTCTGACTCTGCCCCTTGAAAACCGCAAGGTTCTGGGCAAGTCAAATAATCTTCTTGCTGGGCCTCAGTTTCCTTGGTCAGAAAATGGAGATGGTACTACTGACCACTGGCAGGGACACTGCAGAGTATGGAATATGTACTAGAAGTACTTTATGTAATAGTGGTATATTCCAATGAAGTTTCCCTAACCTTTTTTAAAAAAGAAACTACTTTATTGAAGTATTGGTGAGCAAAAATCCATATATATTTAATGTAAACAATGTGATGAGTTTAGAAATAAGTATACATCGATAAAACCATCACCACAATTAATGTCACAAACCTATCCATCATCTTCAAAAGTTCCCTTCTGCCATCTTTATTATTGTTATTATTATTTTGTTATAAGGACACATAAGATCTACCTGCCTAGCAAATTTTTAAGTATAGAATATAGTATTGTTAACTGCAGAAGCCATGCTGTGTAGTAGATCTCTAGGACTTACTCATCTTGCATTACTGAAACTTTATACCCTTGGTCCAATACCTCCCGCACCACCATTCTACTCTCTGCTTCTATGAGTTTGACTATTTTAAGATTCCTCATTTAAGTGGGATCATGTAGTATTTGTCCTTCTGTGTCTGGCTTATTTCACTTAGCATAGTGTCCTCTAGGTTCATCTCTGTTGTAAAAAATGGTAGGACTTGTTTCTTTGTTAAGGCTGAGTAATATGCTACTGTATGTATATATACATACAGTTTATATATACCCCATTTTTCTTTATCCATTCATCTATCAGTGGACATTAGGCTGCTCCTATGTTTTTTGCTATTGTGAATAATGCTGCAATGCACATGGGAATGCAGATGTCTTTTCAAGATCCCAATTTTAAATTCTTTGGTTACATATCTAGAAATGGGATCATATGGTAGTTCTATACTGTATGCTTGTACCATATGCTGGATCATATGATAGTTCTATTTTTAATTTTTTTGAGGAACTTCCATAATCTTTCCCATAATGGTTGCACCAATTTACATTCCTATGAACCATATACAAGAGATCCATTTTCTTGGCATCTAACACTTGTTATCTTTTGTTTTTTGATAATAGCCATCCTAACATCTTAACAGTGGCAAAGGGCTGAAATCTCTTTGTGGTTTTGATTTGTAGTTCTCTGATGATTAGTGATGTTGAGCATCTTTTCATATACTTACTGGCCATTTGTATGTCTTCTTTGGAGAAATGTCTATTTAGGTCTTTTGCCCATTTTAAAATCAGGCTATTAGCTTTTTGGCTACTGAATTGAAGGAGTTCCTTATATATGTTGGATATTAATCCTTTATCAGATATATGAGTCACAAATATTTTCTCCCACTTTATAGGTTGCCTTTTCATTTTGTTGATTATATTGTTTGCTATGCAGAAGCTTTTTAGTTTAACATAATCTTATTTGGTTATTATTGCTTTTTTTGCCTATGCTTTTGGTGTCATATCCAAGAAATTATTGCCAAGGGCAATGTCAAGATTTTCCCTTACGTTTTCTTTCAGAAATTTAACGGTTTCAGGTCTTATGGTTAAGTCTTTAATCCATTTTAACTTGATTTTTGTGCATGGCATGAGATAAAGGTCCAATGTTATTCTTTTGCATATGTATAGCCAGTTTTCCCAGCACTATTTGTTGAAGACATATCTTTCCTCCATTGTATATTCTTGGCAACCCTGTCAACCATGAATATATGGTTTTATTTCTGGGCTCTCCCTTCTGTTTGGCCATATGGCTGTTTTCATATGAGTACCATACTGTTTTGATTAGTGTAGCTTTGTAATATATTTTGAAATCAGGAGGTATGATACCTCTAGCTTTTTTTTTTTCTTGCTCATAATTGCTTTGGTGATTTGTTTCCTAATCTGTTTTTACTTGAGGAACCAGTCTCATCCTAGAGTTGGTGAGAAATGTCTCAAGACTTTTTCCACAGGCAGTTTTCTGTGACTCTAGAGCCATGTGATGCAATGGAGTCTCTTAGCCAATTGTGGTTGTTTAAATTGAATCAACATTAAATCAAATTAAAAATTTATTTCTTCAGTCTCCTTGGGCACATCTTAAGTGCTCAGTTATTTTATAAAGCTGGTGGCAACTGTATTGGGCAGCACAGATACATGATCTGCTTCATTGCAGTATGTTCTCTCAGGCAGTTCTAGAGCTTTCTTTTGCTTGAGTGATGATATAAGAAGATTTTAGGATGATAAAAGTTTTCCTAGGCCAAGGCGCAGTGGCTCACTGGAATTATTGGGGGCTGAGCCAGACGGATCACCTGAGGTCAGGAGTTCGAGACCAGCTTGGCCAACATGGCAAAACCCCATCTCTACTGAAAATACAAAAAAATTACCAGGGCGTGGTGGCACCTGCCTGTAGTCCCAGTTACTTGGGAGGCTGAGGCAAGAGAATCGCTTAAACCTGGGAGGCAGAGGCTGCAGTGAGCTGAGATCGTGCCAGTGCACTCCAGCCTGGGTAATAGAGCGAGACTCTATCTCAAGAAAAAAAGAAAAAAAAAAGAAAAGAAAAGAAAAAGTTTTCCTGTAAAGCACCTCTGTTTGCTTCTTTTTCTTTTAAAAAGTGGTTTCCTATA